AAAATTACTTGGTTTCGAAAACTTAAGGAAAACGAAAAACATTTGGTGTCGCGAAATATTGCACATTATTAAAACCGCGAAAATAAGTTGTCGCGAAAATTTCCTCTAATAAGGTGTTTAAGGCTCACGAAGGCTTTGCCTGGTTTAAAAGTTTAAAAGTTGTCTAACCACAATTCTTAAGTAATGGAGCAAAGAAAATTACATTTTACTTGAATATTTTACTGCGATCCTTTCCGGCCATCAATAGTTGGCTCACGAGTCAAGAAATTCAGAGTTTTTTAAATAGCGTGGTAAATAAATATTAATTGTGAATTCAAACTTCCTTGCAGCACGATAACTGCACAAAGATTTTTTTGATGCGTTTTAAAATTAAATCCGTCAGTAAAATCTATTCTAAATTCTGGAGTCATTAGATTTTTTTACCACGAAAAAACAAACAAAACAAAACAAAGACTGTATTTTAGCTTTGACTTCTAGGCTTTAAAGAGTTAATAGTTAAAATAATTTAAAATTCAAATAAATTACCATAAGATCTCCATCTAAATGATCTAAATGAGTTAAAATTGTTGGAAAATGCCTAAACCCCACAAATCACAAATCAATTCTGTAGATTAAGTTTTCAAGCTGCAACAGCTACAGAAAATTAGCACCGAGCACTATTGGCAAAGGACCAAAAAAGCGCCACAGAAAGAAAACACAAACCTATCGAAAATTCTATCGAGCAGCGAGATACTTCTGTTTCTGGCTTAAGTTTTGTATTATTCCTCGGGCACTTCATGCTAGAAAGGCTCAAAGGCAACTACATGATACGGTTTTGCGTATTTTTTTTAAGAACTAAGATCTGTTTTATTTAATTTCTAACACATTTTATCCGTTGACGCTTAAATAAACTCTGGCTTGTCACTGATAGCAACGAGGGGACGAATGAAATCCAGGCGCGACTTGGTGGGCTTGTATCGCCGCAGTCTGCAATGACCAAGCAAATGATTGATAGGTAAATTAACCATGTACTCAGCTCTAATGATTACCACGGGACTGCGATGCACAGTCCTGTGGTGATCCTGTGGTAGTCAGTCTTCTCTCGAGTAATTTGTCGTTGTTCTCGTGTTTTTCTATCAGCCATGAACATGTTTACCATAAAACAACAAAATGTCCCTCAATGAGCGCACTTGTGTCCCCTCCCCCCAACCCACGGTAGCCGGTGAACATTTTCTCTGGTAGGATACAGGAGAATCTTTAATTTGTTTATAATATTTGCCAAATTACCATAAGCGATACAGTTTCTGATGGAGCTGCAAAGAAATTAATACTGATTATTGAAAGGGCACAGCACGATTAAGTGTCCCAAGGAATTTGAGCGCGATGTATTGAACACTTTTTGTGCAACGTGGGTTTAAAAGCTCAAAATTTTACAAAGAATGTATGAGCTCATTAGCGCTTTTGCCACACAGAAGTTTTGAGGTTTTTGAAAGTCATATTCTCCTCGAATATTACACCCAAAGGGCCAAAAATTTCACCACTTACTAAGTTTCACAAGCTCTTTACGTTTTTCTAGTAAAATCGTGTCTAGCATTATGCCTTGTACGCGCAAAGTCGTATGTTAATGAGGAAAAATGTAAACAATGACGGCAGCAAAGATTCGCCTATAGGGCGAACCGAAAAGCAAGGAAAAAAATACGGTAAACGAGCGAGGTCTGAGGAGAATCCCGTTTGGGCCCTACATCCCCCTGGAGAACTATTCACAGGCTTATTATTGGCTGTTACTTGCGCGCGGGAAACCAACCAACCAATCACTAATCAGCTGAAGTAAGTAGTGCTATGTCAGTAGTGTGTAATTTTGGTGCTCTTTCGCGAGACTGACACGGGCACCCGACGAGAGAGACCTCTTTTTTTTTCAATGACTACAAGCTTATTTCTAACAAACACAGCAACTGAAAAAAGTTGATCATGCAAAGCCGGTATCAAGTGCTTCAAATTCAACGCAACCATTTTCAAAACCTACCTCGCTGAGCTACATCCGCGTTCTGACCTGCCGGGGGGAGGCTTGGGCCTGAGCAAATCGTCACGATGATGAGATTCGTAATTGCTCGTTTCCAGTCCATTTAAGTCCAACCCATTTGAGAGGGCCCCGGGTTCATCTCGTGCCCAGTAATCGTCAGCGTCGGCGTCATCCACCGCATTTTTCGCAGAGTTTTGATTTTCTTCTTCGTTGTTATAGAGATCATTGAAGCTTGGGATTCTAGGTTCGGCTGCCATCAGTTGAGAAAGCACAGTTTTATCAGGGCTTTTTTCTGGAGCCGCATTAAATTCCGTTTCAAAATTTGCGTCAATTTTGTTATCGTCCTCGCCTAACTTTCCACGCTCACCTTCGGAGTAGAAATTATTGTCGAGTTTTTCTTCTCTAGAACTCAATGGTTCGCTATATTCGTTCATTTCCTCGTGTTGTTCGCCGATGTAAAACTGCACGTTGTTATCAGGATTACCAAACATGTCCGAAATCCGAGGAATCTCGTTCAACGATGGCTCGTTAATTTTCTCAGAGTCACTTTTCTCGTTTTCCACCGACATTCTATTGATTCGCTCCTCATTAGAAGCCACCTCTTTCCCATTATCCCCATTTGTTTCGGAAGTTATTACTTTTTCATCGAACATCTCTTTATCTTCTTGCGATGAACGCGAATTCTGTTGTCCTTGCTCAGCCAGCTCTTCTTGATCTATAGGAAACTCGTACTGATTTTCGTCGTCGGAGTTTCCGCCTTCTGAAGCCTCCGAAAACGATGAACCTTCTGCCGCTGGCGCAATTTCGGTGTCCCCTAGAATAAACCCTCCTTCACTGTCCCTGAAGTGCAAATCCCGGCAAGTGGTGACAGCCATAGCGGAGCCAGGCACATGAAGGGCGTGGTGCGAGTGTGAGGACCCCTCCTGCCTGTCGGAAGCAAATTCAGCGGAATCAAGCCTGTATTCGTCAACTTCTGAGGGGTTCGGTGCATCATCTGCTGCTTCTTCTGGAGGTTCGTCCATCATCTGCTCCAGTACAGAGGGTACCCGGAACAGTCCTCTGCCTTCTCCAGCTTCCGCTGGCGGTTCGTCGACCATTTGTTCCAGTATGGACGGCACACGGAAGAGATTCCCTGGCTTGGGACCCTGAGGCGACTCTGCAGTAGACTTGTGATCCAGTTTATGGCTGCTTACCTCGTCATGACTTCTCTTGTCGTCACAGCTGTGTCTTACGGGCTCAGAGTCCAGCGGTAAATCACGCACGTGCTTCTTCAAGTCGTCATGGTGATGATGATGGTCGTACATGGTAGATAAGTGATGGCTGCTCGCTATAGCCGCCACTTGTCTCTCCGTCCTTCCCACATTAGCGAGTTCTTCCAGCTCCTCGTCGCATTCCGTTTCCACAACCGGAGGGGGCATGTATACAACTGGTTGGTCCTCCACCACCCCTGGGGACCACGGAGAGGCAAATCTACTTTCTTCAACATCGTCTTTTCGTTCTAATAACGCGTCCAAATCCAGTTTTGCCGGTTTTGCATCTGGCGAGGACAGCTCTCTAATGACTGTCAGGGGGGCACCCGGCACATGAGCTACCGGGGAGGGGGATTCTTGGGATATCTGCACCGTAGGGGGAGTTTGGTCTTTTTTAACTTCAGCTTCTGAGGAAGCTGCTTGCTCTATGTTTATCTTTACAGGACTTCCTGAGTTAAAATGCTCTACATTATCTAAGTCCATTCCAAGCTCCAGTGAATTTTGTGACCCTATTGTAAATTTGATTCTTCCAGTTTCCAGCTTACCCAATTCATCGTTACCAACTACATTGAGATCTCTGTTATTTTCATTTTGTTCATCGTTCGCTTGAACTTGGCCAACCGGTTTGGCGTCAACCTCGTTGCCATCAGGTTCATCCAAAATTTCTTCTTTGTCCACTCCGCCAGTCTGTGCCCTTTGCACATCTTGAACGATGGCTGAAATCAATGCTGGTGTCTCCAGCCTTCTTTCTCCATTCACGGCCTTTTCCTGTGAAAACGGAATAATTGCAGCTGGTTAAGAGCATGGCAGCAAATCATAGACGTATTGACTAAAACAGTGTGGAAGGGATGTGGCCAATGGTTGGCGTGTTTGGTCCTGGATCGATCGCACTGAGTTCGAGCCCCGGCCGAAGTGCGTGTGTTGTGTTACTAATGAGCGAGGCACTTTCCGATAACAGCGTCTCTGTCTTCCCCCACCCCCCCCCCTACCCCGGGGGTACTCCTTTATATGGGCTATATAGGCATGGTTTTTGCACCCTAGTCTTGAATTGGGTATGTTTTCTAGAAGAAGCTACTTTTTCATCATTATCGATAAGACCATCAACGAAAGCCCTTCACAATGACTTTAACATCGGTCTGACCCAGGGAACTAATTATAAGGCAGGTCTAAAACTGGACATTGATTTAAGGATCAGGTCTTAAATAGGGTAAATTGAATTTTTGGCCAGGTCATAAATATAGCAGATTTTGGTCTTAAATACGTTAAGGGTTTTGCGAAGCGGACCGCACACCCCCGCCAAATTTTTCTCGGAGTACCCCCGGGCTCTTTCCACTTCGGAGCAACAAAATAAAAAGGGACCAGGATTGGGGGCGGGGGGGAAGAACTGACTACGATATCCTCGAACTCAACCCTAATGTGACCCAAAGGCTAAACTGACCCAAAGCCTTCAATTGAAACTTTCACAAAAAGCCAACCCTAAAATAAATTTTCGTAATTTTCACGTGCCTGTTTAGGCGCCTTCTGAAGATAAACAGCTTGGGGTTTCAGGAAATTCCCACCGTCTTTCTCCACAGCATCCAGTACTTCTCTTATCTTCTGAATCACTCCTCTATCTGAGGTACCAAACTTGTTGATAGCATTCCCAACCGTAATGCCGCCATCTTTTCTATTCGCTTCATTACCATGTTCACTGTGATCTTCCAACATGTCGACACTAGGCGACACTCGGTCTGATGCATGCAAGTTCGGCAGGTCAGGCTTGTTGTCCGGGGGCGTCGTGTATATTTGCCCCACGGGAGGGGTGCTGGTAGTTGTGGTGGCCTGAGAGACATCACCCGGTGTTTTCTCCCAGTCAAATGGATCGCTTTCCTTGATGCCTTTCTTGGCGATTGCTTTCTCGACAACGGAAATCAACATCTGCAATGGACGAAAAATTTAAGAAAAATAATAATTGTAACTTCACAGTTACTTCTTAACTCCGGTTTGTCCTAATTAGGAATACATGTGAATAAATTTTATCTTCTTGTCCTTGGACAAATGGTAGTTCCTTGGGACAACTATACACTAATGAAATTACACACAGTCGAACCTCCACTAACGGCCACCTCTCTACAAAAGGTAATCAAACTTGATCCGTACCGCACGTCGTTGGTCTCTGTTTCTGGTAAGTTTCTGTTTTATTGATATAAATGAACTGTTTTTTTGAAAAACGTGTTGCAGCCCCCCCCCCCCCAAAACAGGTGTCATGTTACACCCCTTCCTCGCCATAACGACCACCTCTCTTCGACGGCCTCTTCTTTCTGTCCCCATGGTGGCCGTTGAGGGGAGATTCGACTGTACTTTTAAGTTAATGGTTGTTCATCACACCTTGTAGTCAGGCTTGTCTTCATACTTCAGCTTGCTGATGTGATCCAGAAACTGTTTAAAGCCCGGAGGCAATGATTTCAAAAACAACTGATGGTCATACGCTTTCTTCATTTTGCCAACTTGTTCCTGACATTAGATGTAAAAACACAAAACTGATGTGATACAGAGACAAGACTAAGAAAAAACATCAGTTTTCAACTCGAGTTGAACAAACTGAAGTTGATGACTTTTGTGTCAAACTGAAACTTTATGTACCTTATCCTTGATTTTTCTCCATGGCAGATGTCCAATGGCAAACTCGGCCATCATGTAGAAAAACGACCACAGATCATCCTGTCGGCCCATTTCCTGGTAGATAACAATTGAATAAATCGAAAATAGTATGTTTAACATGAACCGAACACAGGATACTAAAATTTGCACTCCTTCACAAACGAATGCCCAAACTTTGCACGACGTTAATCTCACGTAGCTGGTTCTTGAGCATTATAAATTCTATGTACAAATTCTATGTTGGGTTCTGCCAAGCATGTTTGCTATGTACCATAAACAAACACGTTTCATTCTCAGACACAGACACGTGATCAATACAGTATGAATGTGTGTCCAAACCTTGAGCAAACCCTGTCAATGCGGTAACCACCTAACTGCAGCAGCTACAATTTTTTTGTGCAAACAGTTCCTCGTTGTTTAGTCGTTACCCTAGCCTCCCGATTTGGCTGTCACAATTAGGTGTTGGTTCTGAATATTAAGATACAACAATTTTGGCTTATGAAAATGACTGACACACACTCACCTTATTTTCATGAGCATTAATTGACGCATAACGCACAGTTCCTCTAAATCCTGCTGAGCCTCGTGCCTAAAAGAATAAATTCAACTTCAGGTACTGTAACACTCTCTCTTCTCATAACAAGTCAACAACAATAAAGTGGTTTCCATTTGAGCGCCAAAAAGAAATTGGTGTTCCATTACTCAGGTGTTTCATTAATGTTTTCAGCAGGGGGGCAACTGGTTTTTATAGATGGGCAAAACCATTAGAACTTAACTTCTTTGTAAAAAAACTTTCCCCCAGATGGTCAAAGAAGCCAGTAAAATCGTCCTCACAGCTGGTCAATTCGCCCGCTGCCTGGTCCTTAATGAAACCCCTGCATTACTACACAACAGGTTTGGCTTGAAAACGTGTGCCACGTTTTCTTCCAATCAAAAGAAAAAAAAAAAAACACATCCAATCACGACTCCCTTGCACATGTTCTCTCGTGCTTCGACTCAGCTACATACATTTACTTGAAGTTTTGACTGGCTTATCTGATTGTCATTGTCCTTTGTGATTGGCTAGATTGATTTTTACGACACTTAATAGGCTATTTCTGTCCTGCTCTCATCTCTGTTTCAAAGCAAGTCTTAAAGCACAGCCTTTCATATTGAAATGAGTTTCCCTTGCACATTCATTGTCTTGCAAATCAAACTCATTTCCACATAAAAGGTTGTGCACCAAAGCTTGTTTTGAAACAGAGGGAAAAAGTAACTCGGAAATGGCTCATTGCAAACTGCCTATAAATTAAGTACTTTATCCAGCATACAAGTTCACACTTATACTGTTATCCAAAGAGATACATGTGTATGTCTGAGAACAACAACAAAACCAGACATTTGAAAGCTCTGTTTAAAGATCTCCTAAAAAATATCTAAATAAATTAATCACTATCACTTTGACTACTCATGAAGTATGACACTTACAGGTCGCACGTCTCCATTCCCTTTGGTAAACTGTCGTGCCAAACCAAAATCCAACATAAAACAAGAATGGCAACTGTCTGAAGAACTACCCATGGAAAAATTGGACTAGAAATAAAACAACACTGTTAAAAAAAATCGCAACACATCACAGTTTTTTGGTTTTTAAATCATTTTCACTAATTTTTGAAACTTTTTACCCAGCAAATTTCCCTTCCCTATTAGTTCATAGGTTAAGCTTTGGAAGAAAGTTGTAGCAAGGAGCAACTAAAAGTGAAGCCTTGGAGCCAAATGGCTCATAGCTACCAGAGCTTCTCCTGGTTTCTGTGGCATGAAGCGGCTAGGAGTATTTCTACTCCCCCTGGATGGGATTCTAGTCCATAGCAGATCACTCCCCCACAATTTGTTAGGTTTCCCCAACAATTCGCCGGTACCCATTTATACTCCTGGGTGGAGAGAGGCACTGTGTGAATTGAGTGTCTTGCCCAAGAACACAATACAGTGTCCTCGACCAGGGCTCAAACCTGGTGCGGTGGCCTCATGGTTAGTGCGCCTATTCCCAGAGCGAGTGGTCCAGGAAGGAGTGACTAGGAGTATGTATTTCTACTCCTCCTTGGATGGGATGCTAGTCCATTGCAGGATTACCCCAGCATCAAGTTTGCCGGTACCCATTTATACACTTAGATAGTGTCCCTGGCCATGGCTTGAACCCGGACTGCTCGATTTGGAGACAAGCACACTAACCATGAGGCCACTGTACCTCCCACCTATCAATTTATACTCATCTGAAAAAGGTCTCTCTAAAATAGTATATAAATGATGATGACGCTTACAGGTTTAATATCTCGGTGAAGAAATCCAGCTTCATGGATGGCTTTGATGGACCGCAGGATCTGGAAACCAAGTCGTAACATGGTGCTCTGAGAGAACACTCCTTTGGGCTGGCTTCGCCGTAACTCAGCAAGATTGGAGCCTTGCAGAGACATCACAAGGTAGTTGAAATTCTCATTTCTACCACAGCTTACAAACTTGCAAACATGGCTACAACCTGAAGTAGATCAAAAAAGATAATTATTATTATAAATAATGATGAATATGGGGTGACTTTAAGCAGTAGAGCATAACATTTTTGTCAGAGTGATGAAAAAAATCTTTACCTTGAAGTTTCTTAAGCACAGCTACTTCCATTTTGAGGACTTGTTTTGACTGGTTCACAGACTCTACCTTCAGAGCAACTGAATCTTTTGTAACAAGATCAAAGGCACAGTAGATCTCACCTAATATTCAACCAAACACAAGTAAATTCAGAATAACATTGAATTTTATATGAACGTTAGCTGCAATACCAAGACAGTGTAAAAGAAAATGCTATTGAACTGCTGTTTAATTTGAGAAAATGACATTCAGTAAATAAGTTGAGGAAGTATTTGTCTCTCTCCCTACAGGCTCAGTTTGCCCCTTCCGTAAAAAGACATCAAAGATTCAACCCCTAACATTCCACACTGATAACCTAGCCCTACACCATCAACTATGTCTCTCAGACCTTCCCTGTCCTGAGCCAACCTCTTCAGCTGTGTTCAGGAATACCGCCAAAAAAATACCCAATTGTCTTAATGTCTATATAAAGATCCTGTTGCCAGGTGTTACTTGGCTTGCCTCACTTCGGTAGACCTGTGAATTCCATTAGACAACTCAGAGATCTGTTTGGTTGCAGCTTGGGTTTGTTTGTTTTTTTTTTTAGGTGCCTTTGAGTACTAGGTAACAACCAGTGGTAGTCATGTTATGGAACTCTGTAGAGCTTTGTTTTCGGCATGGAATTTCTACTGACATGAAATCTCAGATGCCTCATAAGTTGGGAAGGAATTGAGCAGCAGTACAGAAAGAGACATCATTCACCATTTTTTTGTTCTGGCTTAGCGTTGAAGGACTCAATCTCTAACAACATTAGGACATCAACATCTTGCAGCCAGACATGAGATTGGCTAGCAGACTATCCGTAGACAGAATTTGGCTTGATTCCAGAATCATCATAGGCACCAATTCATTTGAATATTATCACTAGCAGCACTTGGCGGCAGCAGGGTGACAATCTTGAACAAGTCAACTGTACTTTATGGTTGTCTTTACAGCATTCAATATCTCTAAAGATCCACTGAGCTGTCTGAGTATTCTGCTACATGTAGGGCTGGGGAATGTCTAAGACTTAGTAGTTTTAAGTTTGGTATAGAAAATTGCAAGATACTTTTAATTAATATTAATCATTACTATTATAACAGTATGGTGACAAGAACCAGAATATTAAACAAAGTAATGTTGTAATTTGTGCGGTGTTAAAAATTATTCTAGAATCTATCATTTCCCAATATCAGTGTGATAAACGTGGGTACTTAGATTTAAATACAATGTATTAGACTGTCTAACACCATGCCAAAAATAAATTTGCATGGGTTAGCCAATTAACATTTGCCCCAGTGGCTTTTAATTCATTCTTAGAGACATCTAGCCTAAATCTCTGACATCAGAAGGTGTTAAACGTGAGCTAGCTGGAAGCTATTGAGTTGAATCAGGCTAAAATACGTCACTCTATAGATCTTTTGTTGATAAATATTGGTATTGAAAATTTGTGGCCTAAACATTTCTATCTTGTGACTAATAATTAATTCAACCTATGAATGTTTATCTTGATCTGCTTAATTAATACAAAGTGCTTTGAAGCACTATTTCTAGTATAATGTTTTGTTATTCAAATTGCTATGGCAACAGTGCATTTAGGGTACTTTGAAACTGGTGTTTCAAATATTGTAATTCAATTTTGACGTTTGTCTACAGGCAAAATATAAATATTATAAGGCTTCAAAGAAAATAAATTTCATGATAAACTTGTGCATGTAGTGAAGTTTACTTGCCCACAGGTAATTTTGCTTAAAACTGTATAGGAATACAAGTAAAGGCATTTATAAATCTTACTTATAAAGCCCAGTCGACAGGGGTTATGTGATAACATTGTAAACCAAAAACAATGGTTTCTTGGGTATATACGAGGACGCAATTAAGCCCATTGACACCTGGAGCTTTTTGGCATTTAAATGCATTTTTTGGACATTTTGGACATTTTCAGCCCAACTTTGAGCTAAATTAGCTGCAATCCACTCACAGAGGCATTAATAAATTTGCAACATGACAGCTTGCCTTTCTTCCCAGTAACATCGAGTTTTATGACCTTTTTGTTCAGGCATGCGCAGAAATAAAAATTTTGAAATATAATTTTATGATTTAAAAAATATATGGCAGTGTTTTACAGTGTGATGAGTTAAACTGGGTCACCTAGAAGAAAACTAACCAATCAAAAAGTAGACTGAGAACAATAGACTGGCAGCTTCTTGTGATGGTAGGTAGCGGTCTGTCTGATGTAAAAACATAAACACTATCGACTCCTCTGCATTATATAAACTCTTAGAGACTCAGTTCTTGATGGCAAATTAACATAAAATTTTATAAATCTCGCTCTCAAAATTTAGCTTGAAAACTATGTTGGAACAACTACTAAAAATAAACTGTTGAAAAGCGTACAAAATTTAGGATCAAAATTAACCAATCAACAAATGGCAAAGTTTGCTAAGAGGTTTGCAACTCCTCGCACTTAAATGGGTTTTCAAGTTTTTTTTACATCGTTGTAAGTTTGAATTCTTCAATGTTATTGAGTTTTATTTGAGAAAAAGATTGCTATCCTTTGCTCTCAAGTAAGTTAAACATTCTGATTGGTTACCTCTTTTCCAAGTGGCACGGTTTGAGTTACACTGTAGTTGTGACCTTAATATAGTAACATCTTATTTAGTGAGACCAGAAATAGCTCCTCCCCTTTCTGAACTAATTTTAGTAACAAGATTTACGTCTTTGCAACAAACTTCCCCTTGAACAGTCAATCATATTGCTGTAATTGAACTCAATGAAACTTAGATCAAGTTCAGTTGAGTTTGGCATTATTGGATGCAATCAATCAAAGACACTTTTAGCAGCTCATTAAACTACTTGAGTTCAACTAATTAATCTTTACAAATGACAATAAATAATAATTTAATGCTTCAATTGCATTAAAAAATCAAACATGTCTTTGTGATTGAGCTCAATTAGCTGAAAGATTAAATGACTGATTCACTGTCACTGGTTATATTTTAATATCTTATTAACAAAGATATTCATCCTGACCTTTGGGTCAATTTGTCACAGAAGCCGCAATATTCTTATATTACATAATGACCACAAAAAAATTGAAATCTGTCACATGAGTTTTATGTGCAATCAATGAACGACTACGCAATATACTGTAAATAATAGTAACAAGTATTTGCTGCAGAAGTTGTACTTTCATGTGAGTTATATTATAACAAGAAGCGTACAAGTAAGATAACAAAAGTGAATTGTCAGTTTCCAAATTGTACAATTTAACCACATTGAAATCGCAAAGAGGTATTCGTGGGAATTCACTTACCAAATCCGCCTCCTCCAATCTTTTTGTCCTGTGTGTGAAAAGACAAGAATGAACTTGGTATAACTGAGATCTATCACAGCTAAAACTATCACACTGACATCCTAATTTATTTATTCTGTCACCTACAAGGCTTATGTACGTTGAATCGAGAATGCCATTTCCAGCTCATTAAAAATCTTATTTGATCCGTTCAAAATTAGAAGCATTGCTCAAAATAGACAACATTCTGAAGGCAATATCAAATAAATAAATGAGAATTGTTACGACGAACTTTCACAACTGTTAATTCAATAATACACAAGCCGTTAGTTATCGATAAAGTCTTCGCATTGACGGCGTTGTTTACATTTGCAACGCGGCACTGAACACCCGATTTGGTCAAAGTACGATTTCACATGTTTCGCGATAGGGAAATATCTTTCATAGAAATTTCCTTTCATTTCATGGCTTCCCCAGTTAAAGTCTTATTACAAGTGGCACAATCATGAGGAATAAATAGTGCAGCCCAGAATAAATAATGCTTTGTAAAGCAGTTCGACATCTGACGCGGATGACTAAATAAAGCCGGCATTTGGCTAGATCGCAAGTTACGTCGCCGAACTTCCTGTGTGTGGCTTGAACACTCTTCCGTGAAACAGCGAATAAAATGTCGACACTTTGCCCAGGCAACTCAGTTATATTCTATAAAGAAAGGTTATATTACTATTCAGTTGTACGTAAGAACAACTTTCGTCTGTTTCGATCACAAAAGCGCGATTTCATTAACAGTTTATAAAATTGCGAAACAAATTCAAGAAAAAAATTGGCACGCAGCATACCAGGAGAAAATTCGATAAGCAAGTCAAACGACAGTTCAGTAAGCTGTAGCTACTGAAACAAACTGCGAAATATTGAGTTATATTCTTCCACAAACACACTCTATTTCAAAAAGTTCCATGTTTAGTACTTACGATCTTCCATCGCTGCCTCACCACATCGCCCGGCGCAAGAAGATCCGCCATAGCTACTTGCTACCTTCCTTTGATAACGCTAAAACCGAGTAAAAACATTGGTGATTGCGTACGGGAGAGTTTCTCTCCCACCTTCAACACACTGTCGAAATACTTAACAATTCTAAACCACTATAGATGACTCATCGTCGCCTTTTTTATGTAAAACTCGGCGAATATCAATATACCAGCCACGACGAAAATATAGTCCGTTGAGGTTGTGAGACGGTGATCAAATAATAAATTAGTCAGCGGAGTAAAGCACGAACTTATGAGCCTATCGTCATAATAACCAGCGGTGTAACAAGTAAAAATACAAGATGGCGCTCAGCGTTCCTTATTCCAGGCGGAAAAGAGAACAATTATTATATTATTTGATGCAGGAATTAGACAGATCTCTAAAAGAATCTGGAACGAATACTGGTTGGTCTATTAATAGTACTAAAATAGCTCTCCCGTCACCTGAAATTGCACTTCGGTTAGCCTTTGTGCATATTAGCACTGCGGTTAGTGTACGTGTAAGGTTACAACACAATAGCACTCTGGTTAGCCTAAATAGCGTATATAGCGCCTCGGTTACCCTGACTACCACACTGGATAGCCTCAATAGCGCAGATTCGAGTATTTTAAGCTCTTTAATACTCGTATACGTAGGGTAACACGATATATTCTTAAACATAATTCTGCTCATTGGCAGCCAGATCGGCAGTCGTCTAGCTAGTAATCATGAGACTTGCTTATGATCCGATCTACTGAAGTTCCACTCCACCTTTGCGCCTTAATATTGTGCGGAATTTTTCGTTTTATCACTTTGTGAAAAATAATCTAAGTGTGTGATGCAATTCTTGTCTTCTGCTGCATACACTTTTTAGATTGAAGACATCTTGTTTTATCGCCAATGGAAGATGACAAATGTAAAAGACTTTTGCGGATTGAATGGGACTACATTCATCATATGGGACGGTAGCAATGACTTTGGATCTTGTTTTGAACTCTTGTGTCTTGCATGCCCGGCAAACTTCTTCTTAGCTTGTTCAAGTATATTCTATGCCATTGGAAAGCGTCACCGATTTGATCTTCCGGATGGTCGCCCTTACCTGTTTGCGATGCTGCAGGCCTTTATTTCCTGCCTAATATCTTTAGAATCGCTGATTGAAGCTGTTTGTTCATGGATCCTAAAAAAGTACCATCCTCCAGTATACCTTCTAACTTGTTCACTCATAGCATTAGCATGGATTTCAAATGCAGTGAATGTGTGGAGAAACAGGCATGTAATCCTCTTGAGGAGGTGTTATGCCACAGTTCATGTTGCAATCATAATTTTGGCTTTCTCGGTGACAGCTATTCAAGTTTACTCGGTTGCTCTGAGAATCCATGACAACAACGTTGGTCCCTTGATCATTCATGATTATGGCACCATAGGCAGGATGTCTCTTCAGCTTATATTTCTGATCCTACTAATTCCACCAGCTTGTGTTGATCACAACAAGATCGGCTTGAATGTTGATTTCTTGTCGTCAACACCTGTAGCTACTGGTATCCAGAGTGGGACAAAAAGATATGCATTACTACGATCTATCTCGAGAACTACATTCTACAGTGGCACCCAGTGTATTACTGATGACCTTGGTGTTGCCGAAGACAGATCAAATTTCTTTTCCAAACTAACATTTTGGTGGGTAAGACCTATGATGAAGAAAGGACACAATGGCAATCTCCAATGTATAGAAGATCTATTCCTACTACCTCAAAGTCTTTCCACAGAAAAATTGAGAATTATTTTTTCAGCTAATTTTGATTGTTTGATCTCAAAGAGGGACACAACAAATAAACTAGGAGTACAGCGAAGCATCTCCGATCCAAATTTTCAAAGATGTGCTCCTGTTAGGAGACTAACCAGTGATGGTGGTTATACTAGTGCAGAAGTTTCAGAAAAGGGTGCCACTGACATTTCAGCTGCTAAAATGAATAGTCAGACATCTCTTCTAAGTGCCCTTCACCATTCATTTGGTGTACAGTATTACTGCATTGGACTTCTTAAATTGTTGGGAGATGCTCTTAGCTTTGCTGGTCCCCTCTTGCTGCATGCACTGGTATCTTTTATGGAAAACAGACAGGTAATTTTTAATGTCTCTTTCATGTCCTTGTTAATCAAAATCAGACAATTTTGCAGTTAGACACAATATCACTGGTAGTCCCTGAGAGACAGATTTCTTTCATTTGATACAAGAGTGCTGTGTGTAAAAAGTCTCAGCATCTAAATGTGTATTTTTCTCTTCGATCATTTGATTCATATAGGGTTGTTTTCTAAGTTCATGAAGTTCATTTGTTCACTCATCTTTGTTTCTTTGCTCATTTAATCTGTTTTGATGTTTCTGTTTGTCTATCTGTCTGTGTAACTGTCTATACCTTTCTGTCTGTCTATGTGTGTGTCTGTTTACCTGTCTGTCTGTTCAATTTACCTGTCTATTTGCTTGTCTGTTTGTATGTCTGTCTGTCTGTATGTCTGTCAGTCAGCCTATCTGTCTTAACCTTTCTGTCTGTCTACCTGTCTGTCTGTCTGTCTGTCTACAGGGAAACATTTTGTTTCTTTGGATATTTCATATAATTTATGTATGACATTTATTTTAGGAACCAATATCTCATGGCTATTATTATGCATCAGGATTGTTCTTGACAACATTTTGTGTAGCATTTGTCAATTCACAGTTCAACTACTGGGTGAGTGAATGTGCAAATCCTACTTTGATGTTATTTTTCTATCAGACTAATGCTTTTGAAATGTTTTGTTATACCACTAAGCAGTAAATAGAGTTTGTCTACACCTGAGACTTGCATATTGTTTCTAGTTCGCACCAAGTGTCTTGAGCATTTGTTTCAGGCTTATAAATGTTTTCATTATGTTTGTAGGTGAATAAAATTGGCTTAAAGATCCGAGTTGCTGTTATCACCACAGTGTATAACAAGTCTCTTGCTGTCAGCCTTACCACTTTGTCAAAGTTTTCCTCAGGAGAAGTATGTGAGCACTGTCTGTTGTCATGTTAATTATCCTTCTCCATTTTGAATTTCTTTTGCTTGCTGGGGTTTGGTAGGAGGTAGGAGGTAGGAGAAGCAATCGTTAATGACCAGTTGTTAGTCTATACAAAGTGCGTAGCAACCTGCTGAGTAGTGATCAAAGATTTTCATATTAAAGGGGCTCAGTCACGGTTCGCACATATTGAAAAGTTTAGCCTTAATTTTTTAAACTTGGTTTGGTTTGTAATCCATGTTAATCTTCTCGATCCTTAGCCATCCTTGTTCCTTTATGGTTTATCATTATCTCTTTGGTGTTTTTCTATCTTATTAAACTGTTATTTTCAGGTTTCCTACCATTGAAAGGTACTTTTGTATGTGGCCAAAAAACTCAAAATACCGTGACTGAGCCCCTTTAAGCACTGCATGCACACCATGCACTCCTCTGTCCACAAAAATATAATTATACTCTCTCGGAGGTAATCTCCTAAACCTCAAATGCAAAACTCCTCAAGAAGTAACACCCACCCCCTTCTGAAAGTGGGCCGGCCAGGTAATAACCCCACAAGAAAAGGTCTTTTAAATACATTCAAGCCCAGGGCTTATTTTCAGAAATTATTTTACAATACAGAAAACATTGATAATAAGATAAGACTTACTTTACTTTGCAGCTTTAACATTACTAATCATTGGTTATCGTGAGCTGATAACTTTCAAGAAGTATTTGTAGTACTAAAAATTTAGGAGTAAAACTGTAACAGTGTTCTTTTTTGATGACAAAATGTTTAGTGGTAGATCAGTAAAATAAATAATAATCTGCAGTTTCTGTGGCTGAGAAGTATTTGGTTTTGTTTTTGTAACTTTCATCCAGGTAGTGAATTTTATGAGTACAGATACAGACAGGGTGGTCAACTTTGCTCCGAGTTTTCACCAGTTCTGGAGTTTACCATTTCAGATTGCAGTTTCTTTGTACCTCCTACATCAACAGGTCAACCTCTCTTTCATACGTTTGATTTTTCTTGTTCTGGTTTTAAAAGCTCTTATTAACCAGTTTTTTTGGTATTTGACTTTAATAAGCTTGCCTTTGGCTTGTCTTACCATCGTCTTAGGCTGTATTCCTTTGGGATGATCTGGATCAGGATCAAAGATCCAAAATCATTCAGATCATGATGCATTAAAGGATAAAACAGTGAATCCTTACCTGCAGTGGATTCGTCGCTTCCTTTGAAGTACCATGATCCAAGTGCTCTTGTATCACTGATCCTGATCCAGATCATCCCAAAGGAATGCACCCTTAATTGTAGTGGATCATTGTGATGCTTTGACTTTACTATGAAGCCATGTATACTGTTACTAAATGTTTTTACTTACCTACCAACCTAAACTAACCACTAGCTGCACTAAACTACCGACTACATAGTATCTACAATCTTGCTCATGAAAGTGTCAAATAAAATTCTAAGGGAAGTTAACACCAAAGAGTCTGCCAAAGAACAAACAGTGGAACATTGGAAAATTCTAGTACTGCTGGAGAAACAGGCAACAGACAAATTAAAAGATTACATGGACACTTGTTATTGGTAATCCCGTGGCTTTCCCATTGTTTGTCAATTGAACATAGAGTACATTTTATGACTTAAAGTCTTGCATCTTTCCAGGTGGGCATATCATTTTTGGCTGGTCTAGGCTTTGCCATACTTTTAATTCCTGTAAACAGATGGCTGGCTGAAAAGATTCAGAAGTTAAGTAAAGACATGATGGAACAGAAAGACAATAGAGTTAAGGTACCAGAATTATGTGTTGAACATTAAACTCGTGTAGACACAGACATTTCAAAGTGGTTGTGGTACCTAAAAGTGGTTATTCTTGTTTTTAGGTGATGAATGAAATTTTACAGGGAATTAGGGTGATAAAGTTCTATGCTTGGGAGAAGAACTTCGAGGAGAAGATAAACAAGTTGAGGTGAGGTTTCTAAAATCATGTTTTAGTCACATAAGATATTAATAGCACTTTTGAGTAACTAAAAGTCACTTAATGTTCACTCTCATGGTATGCGTCATCATCCAGTCCTCAGTGTACATGGCCAGGTACCAGTGTGCAAAGACAGTACTGTCTAATGGTCTGGGACTAATGGATTTTCTAGTCAGGCTAGTGGATTCTGTCTAGTACTTGTCTGATGGACAAGTGAAGTTTCTCAGGAAAATTTGTGAGGAAATTCCTATTACAGTCACGTAATTGCAAAGAATGATTTTTGGGCTTGTACATCACCATTGGGCACACCCCCAATCTTTTTTGTTTACACCCTGGGTGCCAGCTAACTGTTAGAAGGGAACCTGACATGACACTGAGGATTTAAACCTGATGTTGAACCATCAGTCCATCCAGAGGGAAAGATAACCACACTGTGGACGCCAGGTTACTTTTTGGTAGACATAAATGTGGCTCAGTTTAACCTGAGGCTCACTTTACCATTATTTTTTCTTCAAGCCAAAACTGTATGCATTAGGTCTAACATGTTTCAGATTTCTGGACCCACGCATACTAGAGGCTGAGGCATATCTAAATGAAGACATACATGTATATCAGAACCATGAAGATTTATTTAATTTAATTTTTTGATGGTTCCTATCTTTATTAAGTATGTATGTATGACTGTATAATGTTAAATATGGAAAACACCCCAGATGCTAACACAAATGCAAACCTGAAAAAATTGAAATCCAGGTGATCACTAATTTTACCTTCTTGGCCCTTAAAAAAGCTGATCAAAATAGAGCATCACCAATTCAACCGCAAAAATGCATGAAATATCCAAAAATGTTTCCAATAAAAACACCAAAAGTCGGCAAAAGTTTGTCTAAAAAATGTATTTTATGGGCTTTCTTTTTTATTGTCTGGGATATTAGGTGACCTGTACAGGAGACCTGGAGATTCGGTTTGTATCCGAGAAACTAGATAATCTTGCAGAGTTGGCACAGATTTTACTGTTGCCTCAATTTAGGGGTCCCTGCTGCAGCTAAAATGTTACTCAGTCAGTTGAATTCACTTTGATGCAATACAATTTTTCCAGGGCTGCAGAGTTGAAGAGTCTGAAAGGAAGAAAGTATCTCGATGCTTGGTGTGTGTACTTTTGGGCAACCACTCCTGTCATGATCTCTATACTGACCTTTACCACATATGCTCTGCTGGGAAATAAACTTACTGCGGCTAAGGTAAAAGATTTTTGGTCTGACCTTAACCAGTGTTGTAAGAGCTGTATTGTCATTTGTCAGTGCTTTAGGAAAACCTTACAATATCAAAGCTGTAAATTTTTGTAGTATACATAAAACTTGCCGTAGTTTGAGGAATAAACCTTTTTTAACCTTTTTGTTGTGTGCAGTTACAGTGAATAAAAACATTAATGTTCTTTTGACCAAGTGAGCACGTCAGATATCACAAATATTTTAGGAGGTAGCGTGGCCGAGTGGTTAGGGTGCCAGACTTGAAATCCGGAGGTCGTGGGTTCAAGTCCCGCTCTGACCACTAAGCTGGAGTTGTTTCTTGGTAGACCCCAGTTCAACTCCTCGGTCATGCTTGTAAATAGCCAACTGGTCTGTCTCTCGCTAGTTGGGATTTTTAAGCCTATTATGTTTAGTTGATATATTTGTTTCTTTCAGTTTAAGTGGCATGCCTGTGAACTAGCTAGGTGTAGCCAAGCACATTAACCACTATAAACAATAATATTTGAACATTTGAACATTTTGATGATGGTGCCAGATGCTCAAGTTCAGTACCTCATTTATCAAGGTGATTTTTAGTAATAACATTTGTTAATTAATTGTCATTTGTTGATCGATGGCAGGTCTTCACCAGTGTGGCATTGTTCAACATGCTCATCTCTCCTCTGAATGCTTTTCCTTGGGTACTCAATGGATTGATGGAGGCCTGGGTATCAGTCAAAAGACTCCAGGCCTTCCTCTCATTAGACAACCTGGACTTGACTGGGTACTACCAGCAACTAGACTGCTCTGACATAGGAGAAGGTAAGTCTATTGTATACAGCTGTTTTAGGACAGGTTGTCAGATGGAAGTGTCAAGCTTATGCAACAAGATCGAATTGTAGTCTGGATATTCACCTAAATTCTGCTTATCGGTGTAGAGGAAATCTACAAATTTGTATTTTTGCACGTGAAGTATTGGCAAGGATACATTAACATTAAATGTTAATGTATCCTTATGGACAGAAAATTTTTCTGTCCATAAGACCATTTTTCAGTGTCGTGAAAAGAAACTTGGTTCCATAAGCCAGAAGAAACAGAAAATATACAAAATGATACATTTTGCCATGTTAACATAATTATCTGATTAAGTATTCAGCACATGTAACAGCTATCTACTTCTACCCATACTAACTTTCAGGGTTGTCGTGTGCACTTTTACACTTTACCCCGGAATCTTTCTCGAAACAGTTATATTCTTACTTGCATAACACAAATTTCGAGGCAGATCATGTTTAATGGTGTCTGCGTGCAGTACAGGTAAGACTGTGCACTTTTGTATTTTGTCTTGTAGTGTCCAAGCCCCCTGAAGTATTGATAAAGAATGGTCATTTTACTTGGAGGCAGAAAGAGGAGCCTGGTGAAGAGGAGAGGGTTTTCTCATCCATTAGGGAGCTAACAAACATCGACTTCTCCATAGAAACAGTAAGTAGCTGCAGAAAATGTTATTAACAATAATAGTTAAAATGGGTTGTTAAAAGAATTCATAAATGCAACAGTGGTTTAAGTGGATATCTATCTGATCGTATTAGGCACAGAATCACATAGCTCAGAGAATTCTCGCACCCTGGTATGTTACCTAGGCGAGGTATTCAGCATGGAATTGTGACTCTTGAAAGCGAGGCTTTGCGCGATATTGCACTGGAGCGACAACAAAACAACAACTCAAAAACAATTAGAAACAATGATCTTTTAATTATGTTTTCAAAACCATTGTCGCCGTCCACGAGGTCAAAAACAAACACAAGTCAAGTTTTCTGATTCTATCTGGATTTCTATTGGCTGGCTTCTGACAGTCTTGATTCAACTGGAGTGGCTTTTCCCGAGCACACGTATTGCAACATAAATATTGCAACATTCACACAGAGGTAAATGAAACGGGTTTTCTTTCATTTAAAAAGAAGGTTATACAATTTAAGGAAAATTCGTAACCTGACTCGTGAATTCCACGTTAAATTTTATTTGAAAAAGCGATGTTGCACTCAGCGCTTCGCGATTCGTGGGATATCGCTTTTTCGCGTGAAATTTAACGTGGAATTTCCTTGTGAGGTAATGAATTTTCCTATAGAATTTTGGTTTTATTTCGTGTTAACTTTAGTTTCAAATGAGGAGATAAATCAAACTCTTATCAAAGTTCGAAACACCTCGAAGTTTGTCTAAAATGTTTTACATTTTTTTGATATTAGTAAAATTTAAAACAATCCTTGAAGCACTAAATTTGGACATTCTTTTGTGAACTATTACCGCTAGCATCACTGGCTGTTCCTTTCTTCCTTTTGTGGTTGCGGTATTCACGCTCAGTTTATCATATATTTCTTGTCATTCAAGGGTCAACTGATTGGTGTGATAGGAAAAGTTGGCGCAGGAAAGAGCTCCTTACTGGCTGCCATCACAGCAGAAATGGAAAAACGTCTGGGACAGGTATTTCTCTTTCAGTACTCCAAACTTCATTTCATTGTCTCTTCTGGTTGTTGTTTTCTTTTTTGTCGTTTCATTGATATTCACTGTTGTGTCATCCTCCGAAGGTTTTTGTAAGGGAGCTTGACGGAGGATTTGGCTTAGCTGCCCAGGTGAGAACATTGGCATACGTTGTTGGTAGCTTTTTGATTCTTTTAGATTTATAGGGCGATTATAGGCTCGGTTTCAACCAGTCTCTCGGGTCTGGTCGACGTTTTTGCGGAAGGAGCCGGGGCTCTTTTCCCGAATAGCGGCTGATAAGCGAGCCTAGAGGGCAATTACCTGAAAAATTTCTGTCTGGGCTGAAAATTTTCGTGTAGTCATCTACGTAGTTTTAAACGTTTTCAACAGACAAAAGAAAACTTTTCAGAGTTTCTTCATCCTAATTCAACCTTGTCTTTTAAGTTTAGATGAGATAGTGTTATTAATACCGTAGGAACCATGGATTCAACACGGGACAGTGAAGGAAAACATTTTGTTTGGTAAACCCTTCGACGTGGAGAAGTATAGTGCGGTTATCTACGCGTGTGCTTTGGTGGAGGTAGGAGCTGCTAGCAAATTTTATTTTATTCGACTAAGACACCATTTGGCCTCCTGAAGTCAAGGGAACACAAAATACGAAGCGGTATTACACTTACCGCTTTGTGTTTGCATTATTGTGTCTGTAATTTTACATCAACAGATTTAGATTATAGACTGCAAAAAATCAATGCTTTATCCAGTGAAATTTTGTGTTGTTTTGCTTTCTTTCTACAAAATTTGAAACCAGATGGTGCGACAACTTATGGAGGGGAGGAGGGTATCCCCCCGGAAATTTTGAAGCCATGCCCTACTACTCGTTCAAAACTTTACTGCATTCAGGAAGAATTTTTGACGAAACCTGAAGGCTTTGCCCCCCCCCCCCCCTCTTTGGACCTCCCCTTCTCCCTCCTTCCTATGTGATGGACAACTCACAAACTTGAAAATAATATTTCTTCTAAAGGATCTTCAAATACTTCCAGAGGGTGATGAAACAGAAATTGGCGAGAATGGTGTGACGCTGAGCGGAGGACAGAAGGCTCGCGTGGCTCTAGCCAGAGCTGTTTATCAGGTAAAAAAAAATTTTATCTGTAGAAGTGCAGTAAAGTTCAGCTGTCTTCAACAACAAAGGGGAACGAGGAATTGATCGAGAAAACGAGATTGCCTGTAAGATGTTACTCTATTACTTAACTTAGACAGTTAGTACATTTTTTAATGCCTTTATTTGCTTTTGCCATTTAAAAAAACATAATTGCAATGCAGTACAATTAAAAAAATACAGTACAGTATAGAAAGAAAAAACAATACTACAAAACTACTTAGCACTTATACCGCAACAAGAAGGAAACACAAATTACAAAGCCACATTTAACATTCATTTACTACATTACATTAGGTTAAATTAGGTACCCAGGGTCAAGATTGCAACATTCAAGATACCAAACTGTATTTTTGTTGCTGGTGTGTATCGGTTTGACTATTAATATGAATGAAATAAAATTAAGATGGCAAGTAGCTGAAATAAGCCAATCCAATTGCTTGTGCAATATTTTCTCACTAATTTGCTAAATTAGCTCTTTTTCAATAGCAAAGTTGCTAATAAATCTGTTAGCGCAAAGCTTGGCCAAGACTGTCCTTGTCTTCTGAGCTTAGTTAATGAGTCATTCTTTAACAGCCCATTGACGCCTGTGCCCGCCGTAACCGCCCGTGACGAGTGTCGGCCTTAATTCCACTTCCGACGTCATCACCCTTGATCAAAATTGGAATCACTTATACTCATATTCTGCAGCAGGACAGGATCTTTCCAATGATACCCAGATCAGAGTGGTTGAGTTAATCGAGCGTGAAATATGCACGAAAATGCTTAGAAATTTGCGTGAAAAACACAGATCAAAATTTCCTTCTACACTTGGCTACTCCATGGTAAGAATTTCCCGTTCCGATGTTGCTTTCTGGGGAATTTTTGAACTGGAAGCAAGCCCAATAGACTGCTAGATTTTGATTTCGGCGCTTGACCCAGCTAAAATGTCATAAAATGCGATGCTAGTGGAAAGAAAGGCATGCTTTCATGTTGCAAATGCTTTTTTTAGGTAGATTTGAGATAATGTAGCCGATATCCATGCTGAAAATGTCGAAAATGTCCAAAGAAATTCGTTTTTTGTCAAAAATCTCCAGGTGTCAATGGGGTAATCCTTTTTTGTTTACGTTTTGCCTCAGGATAAAGAAATCTACCTCCTTGATGATCCCCTTGCCGCGGTAGATGCACACGTGGCCGCTCACCTCTTCCAACATTGCATCATGGGACTGCTTAAGAATAAGACCAGGATCCTTTGCACGCATCACACAGACTTCTTGTCAGCCGCTGACCAGGTTGTTGTAATGGACCACGGCGCAATTGTCCACACTGGTCCGCTCAAGGGAATTCTACACGCGGAACAAATTATGAAAACCGTAACGGATCGGCCTGAGGAAGATGAAAAGCACACTGAAGATAAAACGGAAAGTTCTGAGGAGATAAATGGAGAGAACAAAGACGAAGGGTTAGTGAAAGAAGAAGAGAAAGAAGTGGGCGTGGTCAAACTGCACGTGTACAAGTCGTACTGGCTTGCAATTGGTCATTGCCTGGGAACGAGTATTTTACTCTCATTGTTTTTAATGCAAGGTGAGATGTCATCGTGATTAAATTTCGACTTTCTATACCCTTTTGTATTTTTGTGAGCTAGGCACAAGGGTAGGTAGAGCAAACATGTTTTTTTGTATCCAAGATTTTGCAGCAATCAAAACGAAGACGCTTTTTTCCCTAACCAGCCAGGTGCTTTTGTTCATCTGTCATCTGGCTATCGGTCACATGTTTTCCCGCAGTTTCCATCCGCTATACATGTATGTTTTCTCTGGCTTTCCTTCTGTGACATGTTTTCCCGCTCTCCAATCGCTCACATCATGTTTTTCCACGCTTGGTATCAGTCACATTTTTTCCTGCATTTGCTTAAGACTATGTGTTTATGCTTGGAGTTGATTCACTTCATCATGATGATTCTGGTAACTCTGATTATAGTTTTGACCTTCACTTGAACACCACTCTGTCTTTCAGACTAAGTTATAATAACACAATGCCAAGCCGAACAATAAAAGAAGATATACGAGTTTGTTTTCTATTTCAGCTTCTCGTAATGTGAGTGACTGGTGGCTGGCCCACTGGATTTCTCACTCACGTGCCAGCAACAGTACAGCGCGTCAGCACGTGAACTTAACAACGTCACCTCAATGGTATCAAGTGATTGCACCTGTGCTGAATGCTGGCCAGTTAGGAATGCATGTTCATATCGTCAAGGATACTGTGACGTTTTATCTGCTTGTGTATGGCGGACTTGCTGTCGCCAACACGGTGAGGTTACTTATATAACTTGTGCGTAACAAAGATGATCACCCAAGTTGTATACATTGCTAAATTTACTCTCTTTTGAGGCGATAACTTGTCGTTTTATTTCAGCCATTGTTGATGGGGTTAAGCACAATTCAAGTTGAAATCTCGTCTTTGAGATTTGTCTCGTCTCTAGGATTTGTTACCGGAAAGAAAGACATATCTGTGGCTGTCATGAGTGGTAAATTTTGGTTCAACACTTTGAATTGGAGAAGTTTTGGGGAGGGGCACGAAAATTTGCTAAAACAAATACTTAGTTCCTTAATTGCACGATTAGTTTTTGTCTTAACATTGTGCCGAGTTTTCCGTTCAAGCAATAGGTCACGTTCGATATATCAACATTGGAAATTTTTTCAGTTTTTGTTTTGTCTCGCAATTCCCAAAAGAGACTTGGATGCATAGAAAACACCACCAAATATAGATGTTTCTCCTGAAAGTCTCGGGTCCATGTTAGAATACTGATCTATTGAACGGGGCCTATTGGCCATATTTGTATTCTCGGTTCTGGACTGGAACTAGCTTGCAATGGAGGCTTATGCGTGGGAATGTCACGAAAAAGAGATAATGTGATTTGCATTTGAAATGACTCCCCGCAGCCTCAGTTGAAAGCTAGTTCCAGGACAATACCGAGAAAGCAAAAATGGTCTATTGCTGTGTTACTATTGTTTTGGTTGTGTTTTACGCTATATCAGAGTCTCAGTACCACGCATGTTTTTTTCTATTGTAGGTTTTCACCCTATTCCGAGCTTTCTTGTTTGCTTATGGAGGCATCTGTGCCGCCAAAGTTCTTCACTCGAGATTGCTGAAGAGCATTTTATCCGCTCCTGTATCATTCTTTGATGTCACTCCGGTATGTGGTGTGAACGCACGCTTGTGGAGAAGCATATCAAGAAGACAGAAAATATGCAGCATTTTTTGTGTTGTAAAATGCAACGGCATGCGGAAGGCGCGGTGGCCTCATGGTTAGTGCGCTCGTCTCCGGATCGAGCGGTCCGGGTTCGAACCCTGGCCGGGGACATTGCGTTGTGTTCTTGGGCAAGACACTTTACTCTTACAGTGCCTCTCTCCACCCAGGTGTAAAAATGAGTACCTGCGAACTTAACGCTGGGGGTATCCTTGCGATGGTTTCCTAGTCGCTTCATTAACTGCTGCCGGAAAGCTGGTTTTTCAAGTGTTAATCCTTCATCGAAGCAAATCAAGCTTATTGCCCAGCGGTGCTTACAATTTTTGCGAGTAACACACTGAAAGATGTCTCTACTTCTTAGGGGAACCTTTTAAATTTTTTGTGCCGTTTTTATTTTGCCAGATCGGACGAATCGTCAACCGTTTCTCCTCAGACATAGTGAGTACCTGGGTTTGCTTTTAACTTGTGCATTAGTTTTGTCGGTTGTGGGAAATCTTGAGTCTAACATAAAACGACGAGGAATTTTCTCTGACTCCCCTTTGATCGAGTGTTAGTCTGTGCCAAGCCCAGCAGTTTCTTAGCTCAGACAGCAAAGCTGATTGTTCCTCTATTAATTCATTTCTTCAGTTTCTGGATCTCGCTTTGGTTTTTGCCAAATGGCAGTCTTGTGTCATGGGGAAGAAATGATCTTTGTAGTTGTTTTTATGTATATATATATATTTTTTTCAATTTTATGCAATCGCAAAGAAACCTGATTGAGAAAAAAAATTCAGGGCTTTAACGGGATTTAAACCCATTACCTGTGCGTTACTTGTGCAATGTAGGTTTCTTTGTAGCTGCTTGATATGCAAACATAACTGCGAGAATCAGTTCTTTGATTGCATTCTCCATCCGCAGTTCTCATGATGCAGTCATACACCTCCTCTGTGACTCCTGTTTTATTTGTGAGATTTGACTCTCTAAACGTTTGAACCCAATTCATCTCTAACGTTTTAACTTTTCTTTTTCAGTATTCTATTGACGATAGCCTTCCCTTCATTCTCAACATTTTTCTGGCCCAGGCCTTTGGCGTGGCTGGCACAGTAGTGATCACGTGTTACGGTTTACCTTGGTTTCTTCTCGTCCTAGTCCCTCTCGTTCTTGTGTATTACTACATTCAGAACTACTATCGTAGAACGTCCAGGTAAATTATACCTTTATAGCGGCACGTTGATTAAAACAGAAATAATGAAGTCTCCGTTTAACTTACTAATGAACACACCAGATTTGAAATGTTGGTATGGTAACGCTGTCTTTAGCTGGAAGTTTTCCTTGTTAGTTATAATTAAGGTCATTCTGCTGAAATAGAACCTGCACTGAGATTTTTGTGAAACTTTGCCGATCGATTGTTTATATTATAGACACTTAAATTTTGAAATAAAAATGAGGGGTCCCCGTGTTCGTTTAGGNGGATAGTGATTTGCATTGTCCGAAAACAGTGTTTCAAGTTGTATCTTTTAATGCTTATAACCACCTCAAGGAGCCGCGACAACCTAATTGGTTTCCGCTTGACATGACAATGACAAATATACGTAGCTATATATGCCAAACACCTTACCGGTCTTCTTTCGGAATCCCCTTTGTTCAGTCTTAGACTACGAGTAGTCCGTGTTTCGCTTAGTCCGTCGTGCGTGACGCGAAAGAAAACCGCGAGAAAAAAATGGCCGCGCGAAATATTGGGGACGGGGGGATGTTCTTTCAAGTTTCACTTTTTCAATTTTCTATTTTCAGGGAGTTAAAGCGTCTTATGAGCGTGACTTTGTCACCGATCTACGCCCATTTCTCCGAGACTCTGACAGGACTTGCCACCATACGAGCACTGAGAGACGAGGCAAGATTCAAACAAGAGAACGAACACAGGCTGGAGACCAACCAAAGAGCGAATTTCTGTGGTATGAAGCTATAAAAACTAAGTATATGCTATGCTCTTAGAGCAAATGTGGAGGAAACTATTGTTTTGAAATCAAGAATTATTTAACGGTATTGCTATTCATATGACGCCCTCCTCCATTTCCTCTCCACTATTATCAACCTTTTGTCCCTAAGGAAGAATTACTATAAGTTTGTTTGGTTGTTAGAGCGGTTTTCAATTGAATGTCGTAAAACCAAAGCCAAACCAGTTACTTACCAATTAGACTACTCAGCCAATCTCAAACCGTAGTAAAACCAAACCAAGACCAAAGTAATTGCCTGGTTACCTTCTACAATCGTTCTATGACAGGCAAGTTAAGTAATCCTGTGTTTATTTGCTACAATTCAGTCTGGGTTTCTCTTTCAGCCCTTGTCGCGTCTCAGTGGCTCGGACTCTTCTTGCAATTCATTGGTGTCGCCATGGTAACAGCCGTGGCCTTTATTGCTGTGCTTGAGCATCATTTTAGCACTGTAGATCCTGGTAAGTGACGAAACATTTCAAAAAAAAATTCAAATCTTAATGGAGACGTGATTACAGTCCTTACGCCTAGTGCTTTTCATGCTCTCAAAGAAGGTGCCTCCTCATGTAAGTACACTATCGTTCTGCACATCACGGTTTGATTGTGCGCATGCGTTTAAGTTCGACANGTCTTCTTTCGGAATCCCCTTTGTTCAGTCTTAGACTACGAGTAGTCCGTGTTTCGCTTAGTCCGTCGTGCGTGACGCGAAAGAAAACCGCGAGAAAAAAA